ACTATTGTTGCTGGAAACGCGAAAACCATTAAATGGCACTATTCAACTATTACTACCCCAAAAAGTCCATAGAGATAGTTCGGTGTCCCAATCACGAATATAGCACTCGTTTTGGGCGCTGGCGTTGAATTGGCGCCAGTTTGGCGCCGCCACCTTTCCCAGCAAATTGTAAATTTGCATGGTATGGTTATTTGATGTCCTGATCACGATTACCGAATTAGTTTTCCTCCCTGACGCCATTGGCGCTGACTTGGAGCCACACCCTTTTTCATCAAAATTGATAAAAACGTGCACAATGGGGTTGTTTGATGCCCTGATCACGAATATGACATTCACTCCAGCACCATTTAACCCTTTTCTAAGGCTGAGCCTGTGAGAAAGAGTGTTTTCCTTTAGGTCAGGCCAGCAATGCCAGAGCGCAGATAATCACAGCGTCTTCCATCAGCGCCAGCGCCAAAAATGAATGTGATATATGCAATCAAGATGTTAAATGGTCTTCGTATACAAGTTTTCAGCGGATTTAGTAACCTAGGTTACTTCAGCGCCAGCGCCAAAATACCCTAGGTCAGGCCAAGTGGGTGCGATGTTCAAGTTCAGGAGGTCAATTACCTCTAGAACCCAACTTTCATCCAAATCTGCCCACGTAGAGAATAACCTGATTAAGATCCGGCCTGTTCTTGGAAAACTGGGTTTGTTTTCCAGGTAGAGCGCGTCAAATATGGTGTGAGTCCGCAGCCGACTATCGCAATGCATTCAACCTCACGCCTAAATTCTTTTGTGAGCCACTTGCGCCCTACTGAAAAATCGTTATTGTCTCCACCTCGAACCCGACAGCTGAAGAGGCAATTCGAAAAGGCATACAAAGGTCAAGTTCTCATAACCTAGGCGCGATCACTCAATAATCGTTTTATGCCAAGAGCAAGGCTGAAGATCACAGTGTTGAAGACGAGTTGTGGTCCAAATATCCATCGAGCGATTCCAAGTTGCTGCGTTTTTAGTGAAATCAGTTACTTTCAGATCGATGACGAAGCTGGCAAGCGCTACAAGTGCTTGTGAACGTTATTTTTTTGTCGAAATCACCCACCATGTATAATCGGCTATGTCCGTGCGTGTGTGTGTGCGTCTGTCTGTGTGTCACGAAATTCATAGCGCCGGTCCCAGTGAGACATTGGTTCCAAGAAGTGATGTAGGGGGGTGTGACGGGAACACTATTGGTGGGTGACAGGAAGTGATATCAGCTGATAAGATTTGATAAGAGGCGTCAGAAGGGGAAGACCATTATGCTCATAACGCGGGTGACAGCATCAGGAGGTGCTGATTCCAAGATATGATATAGGGTATGGGACAGGTGACGGGAACTCTTTGGTGGGTGACGGGAACTGTGAGCTGCTGATAAGATCCGATAAGAGCGTTAGAAGGGTGAAGGCCACCTTATCAAGGGCGCGCGTCAAAGCATTAAGGGAGCCTTTGGTTTCAGCAAGTGATATAAAGAAAATGGGCACTTCAATAGTGGGTGACAAAAAGCGGTAACAACTGATAGAGACTGATAAGGGACGTTGCAGTCGCCATCGCTGCTCAAGGTGGTGATGCTTTTCCTATACCAATTTATGAATTCAGTCATAAGACATTGACAGGTAATCATATCAATCGATAAAAATAGATAAGAGGCTACCTTCACTACAATTCTTATGACTCACCACTGTAATGCCAAGTAAATAATTAGAGGCTCCAGATGTGAACTTTTTCTTCTAGCCATCACTTTTCTGATAGCAGCAGGAAGTGAACTCATTCCATCACATATCAGCAAAGTTTTCGCTGCCCAGACAGAGGACGTGGATACGAGTACCAGGGCGGAAGATACCCAAGATGTTCCTCGATAAGCAGGAGCTGGCTCTCGCCCATCACCTTCATGTACACCAAATATGAAGTCATCTCCAGTCGCAGCCTGACTGGAGAAGACCTTTGGAATTCATGTCACCTCCAAACAGCTGCGAAACTTCTAGTATGGAGTCACCCAGCTACCTGGAGACCAGTACTCTCGATCTGGAAGACCTCCATCATCGAGCAGCTCCGTCAACGTCGCTACGGTCTAGGACATCATCTTCACCGCAGTCGCCAAGGCGCCATTGATGGTAGGGACCGGACGTACCTGGAATGGAGAGACCGATATTTTCTTCGTGGACCCCGGACTGAAGGTGAGCGCTGGCGGTTACATCAAGCAACTCGAGAAGAATATCCTCCCTACATGGTCGCCCGTACCTTCTTGGAAACTTTGTACTGCTACAGCATTGAGTGCCACCACATGAAATCGAAGGGCGTTGGAGAAACTCTTGCCTACTTGGAATGGAAGGGCGTTGAGTACCTGAAGAAGGTGGAATATCTAAGCAGGTCACCTGACCCAAACCCCCTCAATTACCTGGTTCGGGCGGAGTTCAATAGGGTGGTCTACAGTGGCGGAGAAATCAACGATCTCGCTGAACTCAGGCACCCACTCACGGTCGCGTGGCAGAATCTCTCGATGGCGCTCCTCCAGAAGGCTGTGGCGGAGTATCATGATAGTATTTAATATGCTCTTTAATATGGTGGTAGAAATGTCCGATAAGAATTTAATAAAGTGTAACTTATAGCGCCTCGAAAGTCAATGAAGAAAAGTGATTTTTTTGCACCCCTCCTGTATATAATCGGCAGCAGAATCAAAACCAGTCATGGAAACCCTGGACTAAACTTTCTGCATGCAATGGTGGCGAAGGAGGCGGGAGGGGTGGGGGTTAAAATGCGCTTGAAAGAGGAACAGTCAGGGGTTCGAAAATGAAAATTATGGTGAAAAACAAATGCGCCACTGCTACTCTCTTTAATTTGCTCTCTTCACTACCGGAAAGAAAGATCGCGTCGTAGCCACATTTTGCCCGGCAAAGCCGGGTCGTATCTCAGAAGGAGGAGCGTCGGCGCCAGGCGGGGATCCGGCTAGTAGCGGTAAAAACTGCGGCTGGTGAAGTAGTTGGCCGGTGAGGCCAAAGGGTGGGAGTAGGCAGCATGTGGTGCTGTTGTCTGTAGCACGGAATTATGTACCAAGCGGCTGTTAGCTTCGTCTTAGGGGCCAAGCTATCGCTGCAGGCAAGTTTTCAGTGAATTTAGTAATGTAGAGCACTTTGGCGCGGCGCCTCGTAATTTCGGATCAAGCGGGGTGATCTTTGTGCTCAGGGGTAAACTACCCCTAAAAACAAATTCAAGTCCAAATATGGGGCCGGGGAAAAAAGTCAGTAGAAAATTGGCGTAAGGGGAAAAAGGGGCAGCCTGTTTACCCCTACTCCCCCAATCATCTAAAATCTGGGCACTTCTCGACCAACTGTTTTTCTCCGTGAAGGGAATTGTCTGAAAATTCGTGTCCTGTGGTAGTTTTGGCTCCTGAACACTAATATCACATCCGCTTGGCACGAAACCTCCTGGCGCTCGCACAGCAGGCGGCGGCTCACAAGAATCAGCACGAAACCTCCTGGCGCTCGCACAGCAGGCGGCGGCTCCAAGAATCAGCTTCCGTATAACTGGGACAGTAAAGGGTAAATAGTGCCGAAAGGGCAGGAAAGACTTAATAGTGCCGACTCGAGTTTTTTGATTACAGTCATTTGAGTGTTGTCCCGCTTGTCCACCACTTCAGAAACACATCGCCAAACTATTGAGCGCTACGTATATGTTGATTTCCGACTCAGGACACGTGCACTAGCAATGCAGGAATGTGAGAACACTGGAAACTCAGGAATTGTCAGATGGATTAAATAAGCCGCTTCACTGCGTGGAGCGGCATGTACTCTGGATGTTGAGATATTCAGGAAGCCCCAGAATTTTGTAAATGGATAGCAGTTCTGGAAAATTATTCCATCTTCGAAGTTGGATCCGTTCTAATTTTTGTGTTCCCTATGAAGAGAACAGGTGCTGGAATGAGCGCCAGTTGAGCGGTTTACGCGACTTCTACTGCCCTTTAGTGTTCCGGTGGATCGATGATTGAGTCATCTGCACAGTCAATTCTTTCATCACGAGTAGCGCTATAAATGTACCCATAATTGTTTTACTCGTAATTTCAGGAAACCATTTCGAAATTCTTTTATCCATAAATTTTCCCCGGGTGTGCGGTTGAGAAAAAAACTAGTTGTGTTTCGAAACTAGCCTCGTTCAAGTGTTTTATGTATGTTACATATGAAAAGGTCTCCTCCACATAAATTGACCGTTGCTCCTACTTTTCTCCTTTTTGACGTTGTAAGTTGCTCTGCTTTCCTTCTACCACCTGTCTCCAGATTCTCAACTACCCGTCCCCTGTGTACCACCTGGGAGTCAAACTTGTAAATCTTTCATTTTCAAGTGATATCACTGAATAGGCAAGAGTTGTGTTCGGATTTGTGAATCTGAGGTTTTTAGTTTCTAGTGCAAAGCATGTTGAAAGGGTGAGACGGAACCTCTTGATGAAATTATTGAGGGCACATTTCACAACTAGCTCTTGAATCCTTCGTAGGTCGCAGTGTTAATGAAACTCAACTTATTTACTGGCTGACTTAACCTATAAAAGAAAAAGGTAGAATAAACCGTCGAACACGGTCTGAAAAAGTTTTTCTGCATCCAAAAAAAGAAGTGGTGATTCGTCGGGATTTTAAGCAAGAGATCAGGCAAAGGCAGCAGGAGAATATGTATACAATTCAAGAAAACGACGGACACCAATGCCGACCTGAGCCTTTTCCGCTTATGATTAGTGGGAACCATTCTCACGGCCTAAGGCTCTTATTTTACAAATTCCTGACGTGGAACTTGGTGTAAAATTGACCATTGCGGTCCGCTACGCTTCCCAGGGAAGGGGTTAAATCTTATAAATCGCACAATGTACGCGGAACTGTTACAAGAATGGTTGTTGCGGCTCATGCTATTTTTCTCTTACAGGCTTTAATGCACTGAGGTGACTGCGAAATGAGCCTTGAAGTCTGAGTAATGCTGTAACCTCCTATGTTCGCATGCACCTATGTGAACTTAACAGATGGTGGTTTCCCTTGACGGAAAGCCCATGCCAGCCCATGCCATTTTCTTGGCTTATCTTTGTGTCTTGAAGCTGAAATGAGAGAAATTATTCATTCGGTCCCTAATGGAAGGAGGTGCGCACACACAAGCATATTTTCTTGGTGCCCTGCTTGATGGGATTTTTGAGCGCCAAATTTGGTGAAATCTGCTAGAGAGCGCTTTTTCAGTAATCTTGGTTGATAATGCTCATTTCACTTTATTTGCATGTTTATTCGATGAGGGTTATTGAGTTTCACACATAGAAGCAAGTTATTTTATTGTCTGCATCGCACAATAATATCACAGAACATTCCTCAAATTAGAGGCAGCTATTTGTGAATTCACTTCCAATTCATCACTAAATTTCTCTTGAATCATTGCGGCTTTCCCAATGAATCAACGAGAACAATGTAATAATTTTTATATGATTTATTTCAGTTTCTTCACTTTCGAGAAGACTCTGAATTTGTTGAAAAGGTATTCCCACGTTTTTGAGGCAGGTGCCACTTCAATCTGGGCGGTTCCTCCGGTCGATGCCAAACTGGTGTCAGCGTACGAAACAAAGTCACTGGGGTTGATCTTCCCTTTCCTCAAACACGCTATGCAGTCTGACGAAGATGGACTTACGGGTTTCCCATATGAATAAATTTTCGAGTTCGTCGAACATGCCACGCAGCCACTTGAAATCAACTGCTGATCTGTTGGGGGAAGTGGAGGAACCTGGTCGACTGTTGGAGGAAGTGGGGGAACTTGGTCGTCTATCTTAGGTTCACTTATTTCCCTCTGTTGAATAAATGCTGGTCTTCCGTAGGAGCTGCCAACAGTGGTGATAATTTTGCTTTGTGAGTCGGTCCACTTGTGTTCCAAACTGGTTACCAGTTCTCTCCGAAGTGGAATCAATTGATGAACCAATGTTGCTAGCGCTACTTCCTTGTGAGCTGCTTGAAAAGCTGGAAAGCTGACTCACTGGTGCCCAGCTGGAGTCAATCGACGAAGCTGAATCCATTTCTTTCCCATAGTAGTTTTCCAGACTCCTCGCTCTATTGCTGGAGCATACGGCGCAGCTGCGTGGTTTCCACGTATTACTTCCTGGTGAAAGAAGTTGCACATTGTTGCTGGTTTGAGTTTCAATGATGGTTGGTGCTCCACTGCCAGAAGAGCTGCTGTAGCTGCTAGAACTCGAACTTTGAGAACCTGAAGAAGATTCTGAGTACGAGTAGGACTTGGACCATGACGACGATGAACTCGACGACGACGACGACGACTGGTAGCCGTGAGATGGTGACGAGTAGGTATAGCTAGTTACTGAAGTCGGACGAGTGCTCCCTACGTAAGAAGGAGTGCCGCCCCTTGTTGAGCATGATGTGCAACCGAACGAAGGCTTCCAAGAGCTCGTTGAAGGGCTAGTGGACCAGCTCTGCAGATTTTTACTACCTAGAGATTCATCCTGAGAGCCAGCCCCATCGTAGGAGCCGGATCTTGAATCGTACGTAGTATATGAATGTGAGCAGCGGCCGCAGCTGTAGCTCCCAGGACTTCGTGCATAATATCGTGTGGTTCTCGATGGCGACGGATAGACAGTGACCGTCCATGATTTTGGGGATCCTTGTGTAGTATAGCGGTAGAACCTGCCTTGAGCTTCCGTTCCACCATGAAGAACTCCGCCTTCTAGATATGGCTGAACATATGGTGTTGAACTATACGACGGTGGCGCACCTCGTTTGATCCTGAAATAAGTTCAGTTTATTAAGGTCGCTCACTATCAGTGTCTACACAACACTGTCTTGTTACCAGAGGGCTGCCTAGTCATAAGGCAAAGAAATGTTACAGTGCTGGTTTTTTTGCCCTGTTGGTGGAAAAACTAATAAAATATCTTCTTATGTTGAACAGTTTAGAGAAAACGAGTGTAGTAAGGTGATCGAGAAATTCTGCAGCTTTTCGGATAGAACAAGACCTTTTATAAATAGGACAACCACCTGAAAAGGCGCACGTAATCTTTGGCGTACCCTGTAAATAGGGTACGCCAAAAATTACGTGCGCCTTTTCACAGCGTTTAATTTCCTCTTCTTTTTGCAGCAATACTCACCCAGTGGGTTATAAGGTATTAGGTAACTTCGCTACTACTGCTCGTTTAAGTCACGCTTCCACTTCCACTTCTAGTGTCTTCTGCGTTTGCAATGGTCACCTTTATGCTCTCGGAACGGTTTTCAATTACTCATGGTCATTCAAAGACAGTAGCTAAAATACTGTCAAGTAGTAGCAAGAAAAAGTGTGTAGGCTAGCATGAAGCGATCTAGGAGTGATTCGAGTCGTTATGCTGTTCATTTTGGAAGGTCGCTAGAAAAAGTTGCCAAAACTAGGAACTAGCGCACCTTTAAGGCCGATGAAAACAAAAGCTCAGTCCACACCGTTGCCAGAGTCCCACGTTCTAGCTCCACTTATGAAGAAAACCGAGTCTTGACTGCAAGGTTGTCATGGAGCGTTTTTGTCTGCGCAGTGCCAGGACGTTTTCTTATTCAACGAGAGATTGTTAAGCTCGATATAAATGTTTAATTTTTAAAAAACACAATATGCACTGTGCATCATCAGGAGACGCGTTCAGGATGGGAGGCTCTATAAACTTCAAAGATGCGCGGGGAATGCTCTGATCGTTTGCTGCTCAGTCACCTATAAAACTGAGTTTTCACTGATTTTTATTCGAGGGGTCACCTAAATTTAAAACAAGCCGACTCAAGGCAACACATTGGAGAGGAGCATAGTATTAGGTCATCCCATTCAAAGAAAGCCGAGACATATAGAGGAATGGAGGAGAAGTAAAGGGGATAGAGGAGCGGGCTACTATAACATTTGAAGGACCTTTAGCTATGTATCTGTGAAATTTGGTGAACCTATCCACCAGAAGAAGTTCTCGAGAAATTGAAAAGAAGCACGAGTGATGAAAATTGAAAAGAAGCTTGAGTGGTGAAAATCAGCGCCGGATTTTCAAATCAGACGTCATAAGAGGAAAGTGCGCTGCTCAAATTTGACCTGCGCCGGACCAGTAGTTGTGTGTAATGGTGTTCTCGAAATACAAGGTGAAAGGTTTGGTTCAGGAGCCCGAAGAAAGGAAAAAGTTTGTTGTCGTGGATGGTCCCATAATCATCCTGCACATAAAAAAGGGTGGATGAAGTCAAGCGCTGAATGTCTGATCCAGAGCCTGGACCTTTGTCGAAGTTTCCCCGCGAGTCTGACATCCCAGCTGCAACTGCTGCCCGAGTTATGTCCGATAAACTGAGGATGGTCAAGAGTGCGCATGGGTACCTAATTTTCTTGTAGAAGCACGAACGCAGTACCTATTCTGTGCCTCTAGCAGTAATGTTCTCAGCATGAGATGTCATTCACGACTGAAAACGCACCCCGGCCCTAGATGAAATATGGGTGGTCTTGGACCTCGAGCCAAAACTCACAATCGTCAATTTTGTATGAATGCAGATGAGAAGCCGCCGAGTTCTACCATGAGGAGTTACGTGGGCGCAAGTGGATGATCATCATAGCGAAGGATTCCCACACTGTGGCTTTCAGGCGGCTCTATACAGAGAATAAAATCGTCGCTGTCGGTGTATATTGCCTGTTCCTCGGCAATCAGATCGACAAATGGATGATACCACACAACTACAAGAAGGCCACCGTTGCTCGTCATAGTGCCAGACCCCTAGTAACTAGGGCAGTGCTGGGACACAAACAATACTGAGACCTGGGTTCAATCGCCCCATTCGCATAAAGCCGTTCGATTCCAACTGTTCTGGTCAGTCGAGGGTACTCTCCGACGGCAAACGCTACAATGTTTTGTCATTCGCCGAAATTGGCATCAACAGCAATTTACTCGCACTTGTTGAAAAATCGAAGGTACCAGAGGTCCAAAGGCTTTAGCGGAGGGATCTGCCTTACTCAAAGCCAAAATATTACCTCTTTATCTATTTTCGTCTTCCTTTTATATAAATAAAATCTTGGGGACTTTTGAATAGGATGACCTAATAGCATAGAATTCTCACAAGGTGCTTTCGCGCCACGGCGTACGACTCCCCTCATGATTTGTTTGTTCTTAGGACTCTGGAGAAATTCACACGATAAGAGCAAATTACGTAGTGACACCCAGTTCACAAACCGCTGCTGAATACCATTCTTCAGTCTACTTTCATGCCGTTCTTTTATCTGGCACGTGCTGTATTTATGGAACCTTTCCTTCGAACCTTACGTGTATCGTTCACGTAAAAAGCACAACTTTTGTTATCAGCCTTTCCGACAGTCGAAAAGTCCCTTCCTTTGGGTAAGAAGATTAAGAGACCTAGCCACGACCCCTCGCCTTGTCAAACTGGCACAGCTAACCAGGGAAGTCCGCCAACTTACCATGGAACTTTGAATGGAGACCTGGGTAGATCGATAGAGTCTATAAGGTTTTACAAATATAGATAGCAAAACTGCAACCTGCATTTCACAAGCAACTTATGAGCAGGTAAAGTTTGTAATGGTGCAGTAGGGTGGAGGCTTGGTGGTGAGCTGTGAAGCATAAGCGAGGAATCGCATACATCGAGTCGTCGAACGTCGAACTTAATGAACCACCACGACTCGATTCGACGTATGCGGTTCCTCGCTTATCTTCACAGCTCATCTCTAGGCCTCCACCCTACTGCACCATCACAGTTAACCTGCCATAAGTTGCTTGTGAAATGCAGGTTGCAGTTTTGCTATCTATATTTGTAAATAACCTTATAGACTCTATCGATCTACTCAGATTAGATGTCTTTCGCGAGATTGTTCCCCGATAATTATTGTTGTCATATGAGTGCCACGGTAACGGTACAGCATCGGGGTAGGTGTGATGGCGTGTCAGTAAGACCCCTCCCAGAAGCACGTTCCGATACTACCTCCTCCACTATTATATTTGAACTTTTCCTCTAACATTACTATTGCAATGGAGCGGATCATTACTCGAGCATCGCCCCTTTTTGGACGGCCCAAGCGCTGAGGGAACTATGACTTGACGCAAACAACATTCTTTGTTGAATGCAGCGCATGTGCTAGCTTCCTTTACTTCTGCAGAGTGGCTGTAACAGTCAACTCACATTCGACAGTCGAAACGTCCTTCCTTTGTGTAAACTAAACTCACATGTGGGATGGAAAAGTCGAAAAGTAGCTCAATTTACAGAGAACCTTCAAGCTCCATAGATTTGCATGAAGCTATTATGTGCACCTCTGCACTATGCAATAGTCGGGGCATGAAAACATTCGAACGTTCTTCGATTTTTTTTCAGACTAATTTATTCAGGGTTTTGGAGGGACTTATTCGCTCAAACGAGTGCGGCGCTTTCCGTCGGCTTTGTAACTTCTCTGAAAAAATCCCGTCATCTAGACCACCTAAATTCACTGATTTTTCAGTGTATTGAGTAAAATGTGAGAAGTGGTGCTTGTTTCTCTCTAGAATCACTTATTGAAAGTGCTACCTAAAATTTAGGGTAAAGTTGATTGAGGAGACCTGATTACTCTACACATATCTAGGACAAAGCTGTACTTGCATCTCCGAGGGCGGTCCTTCCCAGTAGGAGGTGAATTGTCGGCAGCTGCAGTAACGTGCCACTTCTTCCGCTTGAAAGAGCACGGTGACGAGCTGAAGGGTAGTGATGACCGGGTACGGTCTCAATACTTCGAAAGCGCTGTCCTCAAGATGCAGCGCTTGCGTCGATACCAAAATCCGCGCAAAAACCTGCACTCAGCTATAGAGAACAACAAGAGGTGAGAGCACAAACAAGTACGGGGCGCATGATTAGTTGGGAATTTTGGTTGCCTCCACGACCCCCCCCCCTCTAGTTCCCTCCTTTGATCGAGCCCTCGAGCGGGAGAAGGGGGGGGGGTATATTGTGCATCTGAAAAGGGAAAAGTCGCGAGGAAGATACGACCTCTTCTCCCATCTTACCATACAGTTTCTTAGATTTTCCCCAAATTGTTACTAGTCTGACCAAAATTTCTCAAATATTTTCCTACTTTTTCCGCAAAATTAAATCTTTTTCCTACTTTTTCCGCAAATTAAGTATTTTCCTACTCTTTCCGCAAAATTTCACAGTCGAGCAGGGAGGGGGAGGAGAGCACATGTAAAACGGAAAAAACCGCGAGAACTTCACAATGGAAAAAACGTTTCCACACCACAAAGCCAAATATGACCTCCCCCAACAAGACCAGATACGACCCTCCCCCTTTTTACAGCGTCCGGTAGGCAAGAAAACAACCAATATAAAAATTTTTCAAACCAAATATGCCTCCTCCCCATGCCCCTGTCGGGGAGTCCCTAGCGATGATGTGCCTTGAACAAGTAGCGCGCCCGGCCACAGTCAAAGGCAGCTCCCACGTTCATTTGATGTTCCCGCGCCCTCTCTGGATATCATAGCCCTCCCTATGAGGATGCAGTATGTACTAGTTTTGCATCTCAAAAAGGCGAGAGGATAGCGCCGTTCGCTAGTGAAGAGTCGGCCGCCCCGCCCACCTGGCCAGCATAGGGTTCTATATAGGGCATTTTCCATGATTTTTCTGCTTTTTTTTTCTTCACTACTGGATCACGTATTATATGAGCTCCATAACTCATTATTCTTGAAAGCGGGCTCAGCCTTTGAAGGCTAAGCCAAAGCAGTTATGGCAGCCAGGTGGGCGGGGCGGCATCCTCTTCACAAGCGGGTGGCGCCATCCTCTCGTATTTTTGAGCTGCGAAATTAGTACATCCTCCACCCTTGTCGACAAAGCTACGATATCTGAGGAGGGCGTAGGAAACGCGGGCGCTGCCTTTAAGCATGTGGCTAGCTGGCGACAGCGTGGGCGAAATATGGCGACAACACCCGGGTATCACTTCCCTCCAGCCTCTTTTCCGTCTTTTTCCTAGCGGAGAAAGAGGTACGTCGCTGCATCTGCTCACTGACCTCACGCATGACAAGAACTAGGATTTATTGTAAAGGAAGTAATCTTAGACGGAATTACCTGAAGGTTGAAACATTCAGTACACAGGCGATCAGAAGTAGAGCCCCGAACATATGACGAGACATCTCGAAGTCGACTGGCATCTGCTGAGGGAATGTCAATGATCATAACCAGTTGCATTAAATTGGTTGGCCGAAGACAGAAATGTTTACGGCCTGAATCATCCTCATGGTTTTGAACTGATCAACAAACATTCAACTTCGCTCATCTTTAATGCGTTTTGCAGCAGTGGTTGCGATCAGAAACTTCAAAGAAAGGCCGCAAACAATGAGTGTTAGCGACATTTTGGTGCTTGGGTTGTTGATCGCAGGCACTTCTAAATCAGGGTTGTGCTCATAGGAGCAAAGTTAGAGTGGTAACAGGTTGTTGCGCACTTGATCCGACAAATGAACCCGGGCTGTAGGTCATACTTAGGCCAGGCGCTCCTTTCATTCCCAGAAATTGCGGGTCGACAGTAAGTTTACCTTGGGGGGGGGATGAGAACAGTGGCTCGTGCTTCGCCGAACTTTCTAGGTGTGTAAGAACCGTACTGCATCGAAATGCTACTAGTATTCGCGATTGAATTCTGACACATGCTCACCTCAGGAAGTTTTTGATTAGTGCTAATGAATTTTTGAATTTCCTTGATTCGAGCCTGGAGACTTGCAAGGGTGTTCTAATTGTTCACAATGACGATGTGAAACTGGGCTCTGTACAAGAGCTAGACTAGAGTTTATCTTTTTAGATGTACTAACTCTTTGCACATGTTGGGCACCTTTGAGAAGCTATTACACCAGAAGTTCTGAAAACTAAAAAAAATCGAAACCTCGCTTGAGTGGTGGCCGCTTGCTTCTGGTTCGGTGGCAGACATTATATTTTTCAGTATACATTTGTATTACAGTCAATATTGTCATAATCAGTGGGGGCAGTGTCAGGAGGCGTTTAATGAGCTCACTTGCTGCTCTTTTTATCACTGCTTGCCTTCTTTCTGGAGCGATCACTAACAGATCATTATTGGTGAAGAATGCAGCCGGGGGGCCGGTTTATTCCACCACTCCTGAGGCACCGTTCAGACTTCGCGATGACGCTCGACGATGCGCAGCAACGCACGTCGCCGCGATGCACTTGCACTGCAAATTGAATCCATGGGCGCCAGAGGCTTGTGTTCTAAGAGAGTATGAGGGAATTGAATGGTAGTGTAGCCTAGTCACTCAGACTGGTATCGATTGGTATTGGCCGTCCGCGACTGCGTTCTCGCGTATAGCTTCGGAGCGCTGTTGCAAATGTAGCGCGTCACAGCGCTTCGATGCGCGTCATCGCGAAGTCAGAGTGCTGCCTGACAGCGTCCTACCCTTCCTGCCCCCCCCCACCCGATTACGACGATATCAGCACTTATCATCATGAGCACTGTTCAAATTGTGCATTGAATTTTTTTAGATAATCTCAATAATTTTTGCTTTTCAGCTCCCAGAACGCTCAGATTATTGAGCTGAATGAGTGTGTGGACGTGTTGCGAGGCAATCTGCGAAAGAAAGAGGAAATGCTGATGAACTTGTGTGAAGAAGGTGGCAATGGATCT